TGCTGTTCCTTCAGAGCTGTGGCCGAAACTCCCCACGTGCATGTGAGGGAGTGAACCTGTGGCTTGACCATTCAAGTAGCCACAGCCCAGGAACCCCCAAGAAAGACTGGGTGAAAATGGAAGCCCTGTCAGCAGGGACAACACGCCCGCTGGAGGGCTTCGTTCTAAGTGGCTAAATGGTTAGCACTTCCACCTGGCAGTACTAGGGTCGTTGGTTCGAATCCCAACCACGGCAACACCTGCCTGGAGTTTGCATGTTCTCCCTGTGCCTGCGTGGGTTTCCTCCGGGTACTCCGGTTTTCTTCCCACAGTCCAAAGACATGCTGGTAGGTGAATTGGATCCTGTCTAAATTGGCCCTAGTATGTCTATGTATGAATCTGTGAGTTAGGGACCTTAGATTGTACACCCCTTGAGGGTTAGGGACTGATGTGAATGTACAATATATACGTAAAGCACTGCATAAATTGATGGTACTATACAAGTACCTGAAATAAATAAGGCAAGTCTTTCATAGTGTGCTTGTATGCAATGCATATTAGCACATGATATTACCTTGCAGAAGGAATTTTCTTTAACCACTTGCCTACCAGGCACTTATACCCCCTTCCTTACCAGGCCAATTTTCAGCTTTCAGCACTGCCACAGTTTGATTGACAATTGTGCGGTCATGCAACATTGTACCCATATGAAATTTTGATCATTTTTTTCTCACAAATAGAGCTTTCTTTTGGTGGTATTTAATTGCCACTGGGCGCTTTACCTTTTGCGCTATAAATACAAAAAAGTGCAAAAAATCTGAAGAAAAAAAAAAAGTTTCTTTGTTTCTATTATAAAATTTTTCAAACAGTTAATTTTTCTCCTTCACTGATGTGCGTTGATGAGGCAGCACTGATGGGCACTGATAGGCGGCACTGATAGGCAGCACTAAAGGGCACTGATAGGCAGTACTAATGAGGTGGCACGGATAGGCGGCACTAATATGCAGCACTGATAGGCGGCACTGATGATGGGTACTGATAGACGGCACTGACTGGCATCACTGCTGGGCACTGACTGGCACAACCCCTGGGCACTGACTGGTGGCACTGACTGGCAGCACTGGTGGGTGGGCACAGGTGGTGGGAACAGGTGGGTGGCACTTCTGGGCACAGGTGTGTGACACTGCAGAGTGGCACAGGTGGGTGCACTGCTGGGCACAGGTGGGTGATCTGCTGGGCACAGGTGGGTGATCTGCTGGGCACAGGTGGGCGGAGCTAGTGGGCGCACTGCTGGGCACAGGTGGGCAGAGCTTGCGGGTGGCACTGCTGGGCACCGATCATCAGGGCACTGATCATCAGTGCCCTGATGATCGGTGCCGATCCCCGCTCTGACAACTGCCGGTTCTCGGCAGTACTTTCCTCACGATCTGACAGCGTGAGGAAAGTGCAGCCAAGAACCGGCACTTGCATTTTCCTCTGATCAGCGCGTCATTGGACACCGCTGATCACGTGGTAAAAGGCCGCTGTAATTGGCCTTTTACCACATCACGTGATCAGCTGTGTCCGTAGGACACAGCTATCACGGAGATCGCCGGGTGCGCGCCCCAGAGCGCGTTCTGGGAGGACGTCATATGACGTCCACCCAGAACTGGCCAGCCGCAGTGTAGCCGTCATTCGGCTATCTGCGGTCGGCAGGTAGTTAAGCAAGTTCACTACCGTTTTAAAGTTCAGGTTGTACTGAGAGGTAAAAAAAAAAAAAAAAAAAAAAAACACTTGCATGTTGCTTTTACTGACAGAATTATTATGTATTACATTTATACAGCACTTTACATATTTACTATGCGTTCACATCAGTCCCTGCACTCAAGGAGCATACAATTGAAGGTTTCTAAAAATATATTAGGTGCTAGACTATTATAGTGACTTTTTATTCTTCTGAATCACTTTCCTGAATAGCAAAATCATGAGTCAGAATGTTATCAGCATTCTTTTGCTAGGTCAAATAGAGTTGAAACAATGATAGCACAACAGCCAGGCATCTACCATTTACAGAACAAAAAGTTCATAATAGGAAGTGTCCATGTTTCTCTCATGGCACACTTCCTACATTAAAGGATGATGAGCAATGAACAAAACTCAGGGAAATAAGGCCCAGACAAGCAAGCCAACTTTCCACTGGGGTTTTCTTTCTTCTACAAATTGTTCCAGCACACAAGATGTGAAAATTTAAATTGTCCCCTGGCCATGCCCAGCTCAATACTCAAGAGACACAACCTACAAGAATGAAAGATTCCACAGAGCAAACAGCCTCTAGACAACATTCCAAGAAGTGTGTCAATAGTAGGCAGAATAGATTACAATAGGTCATCCAACTTGAGCAGGATAGACATCTCATCAGTATGCAATGCCTTTGAAAAGGACAAATACAAAAAGCTCATGTAAGCACCAACAGTACTTAATACATAGTATATTAAACTATATTACTGATCTTCAATAACCTACATAGCCTGTAAGCTTTAAAGGTTTTCTGGAACTGCACTTTCAAAACATTACGGTCATACATTGACATCCCTGCTTATGATCCTCCTCATGTGTCATACATTAGTGACAAAGTGACATTAAAGAATTTTTTTTTTTCTTAGATGCTCATAGTATTGACTTGCATGCTCTTGCTATTCCTTTTAAAAATCTCTATTCCTTTTCTTGCTTTCATTGCACCCCTTTCCGTGTTATTATTATACAGGATTTATATAGCGCCAACAGTTTGCTCAGCACTTTACAAAATAAAGGGAGACAATACAGAAACAATACAGTTCAATACAAGAGGGATTTGAGGGTTGTCCATCTTTATGTATTTGGGTGCCCCCTTTTACTGGGATCTTTGGAGTCTCAGTTTGGCTTCGGCTCTCCATCCCCTCCATATCTGTGCACCGAGAATGGCTACACATAAGGTTGCAGCTCTAAAACAGTCAGATCCTGCAAGGCATACAGAGCACAGACATACCTTGGCTGGTGCGGAGAAAGAAGGAGGCGGAAACATTTTTAGAGAGTAGAGCATGAGCATGTAAGGCATACAAGATGCATCTCATTTAAAAAAAATTGGCTTTAAAGAGGCACTGAAGACCGCAAATTTTCTCCAACTGTCCCATTCCTCAATGGCATCGTCTTCTGTCTACCGGTTTTCGGCCATCTTCATTGGCCGGCATGGAATGACAGCACTCCTGCATACGCACAGGGGGCCCTTATTCTGGCACGCAGAGATCAGGCTGGCCGCTGTAAGCTGTGCCATGGCATGCACAACTTGGTTTAAATGCGGGGAATTGCTGAGATCAGACAGGTAGGTGAATTTTATTGCAGAAGATATATTGCATGTTTCGGTTATAAAAAAACCTGCCTGCTTCCAAAGAATAGCAGCAGAACTTTAGTTCCACTTTAATATAAATCGTAGTCCTCATAAGGACTCTTATCAAAGCGTGCAGCTCCACTAGATTCTGCAACATGCTGCCAGATGAGGAAGTGGCCCAAAATGTCCATGATCGTCAGCGAGGCTCTAATGCAGCCTTCCCTCAACATTTTCACCACTGAAAAAGGTCTGGGTTTTGTGTTTTATTTTAACTGGATTAAAAAAAAAAAAAAAAACCACAACCCCACCCACCACATGTTCAGGTCTTAGGGAAACCCTATTAAAATTATATCTACAGTTCATGGGGCATTTGCATGCTCGGAAGGTTTTGGAGAGTTTTTAAAGGACTAAAGAAAAAGGATACACTTCCATTCCCCTTCTCTACATAACAAAAAATATCTTCAGTGATATCATGAAATGAAACAAAAATTGTAGTGATCTCCTAATTTGGTGATCACTATAGGTAAGAGATCAATCTGACACTCTCTTCAAGGAACCCCTAGCAACCTGTGGAAAAACCTTGGTTGAGAAAGGCTGCCCTAACATTTACATTCGGTATGGTAGTCCTACAGAAAGATGATTTTATCAACATAAAAAGTTTTAGTTGGCAGAAAAAAAAAAAAAAGAAAAAAAATAGTTTGTGTGGAGTCACACATGTGCATTGCAGATTGAAGCTCCGATTTCACAGCTGATATAGTAGTTGTTCACCAGTTCAGGTTGGGTTTACATCAGGTACAGGACAGGTTAGTCAGGTTCAGGCCAGTATCTTAACCCATTCACAACTGATGACGTGTGTGGTTTAGAAACGATTTCCAAATAAGTCAATAGCCAGTTAACAGCACTGGACCGCACTTCTCTGAAATCGGACACGACTCTTTTCAGTCCGCACTGAATACGCACTGCCAGTGCACCGGACATATGTGAACAGACACTATAGGAAGCAATGTTTTACATGTCATGCGGATTGGATGCAGTTCAAACTGGATCGGTTACAACACCACTGCTTTATCCAGCTTTTACACAATAAGTCTATGTATTTATGACTTTGGTGTTTTAGTTCCTCCAGCATTGTACTGATGCATGTTATTCTACTAGAGATATACAGAGTTAATTTGGTGTCATCGCTCCCATAAGAGGAAAGTTTGTTACTACAGTATTCTCAAATATATAAAAGCCAAAAATGCTCAACAACATATTTTAATAAAAAAGGTAGTTTAATGCTCTGTTAATTTAAAATTAGAATGGTTACAGAAAACATCAAAGTTTAGATAGAAATCCTTGTTAAGCTAAAAAAAAACAAAACAAATAAAAATGTAGCCACTCCTTTGCTGAAATACTGTAACCTCGAGGCCAGGGATAGCAGTGAATGTACAGTATGTAAATTGTTGTGTAAATTGTCAGCGCCATACAAATACCTACATAATAAACACGTATGTCATCTTTCCTTATAGAATATGCAAGATCTTGGTTAAAGAGAAGAGGACACAGCGAAGATGGAAATTCCAACTATGGTGTGTAGATTTAAGCAATTCCTTCTAAACCAGTTGTCCCCAGGCTGCTCCAGAGCATACGTCTAGACAGGTGCTGCACACTATTATAAAGATAGCAAAAGAGTTACCTTGACTTCCACCGACTGCATGGCCAAGTCACACGGGGGTTTCAGGGCTTTTGGTCTTGTAGCGTACCAGTAAGTGGTTAAAGCAGCAAACGCACCAAAGCCCATCAAGGTGTTGGTGGGAAGAGTGCGTACATATTGGTGAACATCTCTCAGCTCAGGGATCCGAAGACTCCTGAATATCTCGTGTGCTTGCATTATTAGTGCTCTCTAGACCTGTGGGAGGAGCAGAGTGGGAGGGGGGGAAAGCATTAAGACATGTACAAAATTAACACTGCAATGGCTTTGTACAATTTGCAAGCTAAAAACCACTTTCATATATTTAGTAGCAAATCAGAACAACAATTGCAAGCATGGACTTTCTAATATTGAAAACATTTACAGGTCTACCAAGTCGCTATACTTGCTTTGTATGTGAAAAGGAAACCTGTGCAAAGAAAAACTGCCCCCCCCCTCTGAAAAAGCTGGTTGCCTGGCTGTTACTGGCTTCAAAACGTCAGAGCTACCAAGCCCATAGGACATCTAGAGCTTCTAAATCTGCATACATGTACCAGATTCTCAGAAAGAAACGGAAGCCACCAGCATTACAGTCAACTGTTTCAGTAGGTGGTCAGAACTGTCACCATATAATCCACAGTACTGGTTTCCTATTAAATACTTCTGTGTATAAAACAGCGATAAGTAAATACTCACCTTCATCTAATAAATGCAAATAAAGCAGTCATTTAGAGAAATGGCTTTTAATTACGGCTCATAGTCGTGGCTAAAAGGGATAAATGCTTGAGTGCTCTATGCCATGTATCCGCGTGTGCAAGTCATCTGCCATTCACCTCTCTGGTGTACACAGACTGACACTGACAATCAGCGTGGGTTGGCTCTGTAACACACAAAAAAATGGCCACTGCCCCAGTCTAACTGGCCTTCACAGCAAGGAGCACATGTAAGGGCGACACATGTCAAACAAAAGAGAAATATTCCTGACTCAACATGCCAACCAGCCTGAAAACAAACCGAATTGACCTGTCCAACAATATGCGTTAAAAACAGGGGTTTAGTTAGCACACATTTGCAAACACATGCGTAAGCTACAGAGCCTCATCACGGCACCCCAGTATTCTGTAGTTCCTAACTCTAAAAATTTAGGGAGCCCCTATAGTAGAGGCACATGTATTTAATGGATAGACCAAGGGCAGTTGGACCCGAGGGAGCCCACCCCTCCTTAAACAAAAAAAAGGTACAGGAGCGCACTGGACACCCAGCATGTAGCACAATGGCAGCTAAGGTGTCCAGTGCACCCCCTCACCAACAATTCAACAGTACAACAAATGGCCACTGCCCCAGTCTAACTGGCCTTCACACCAAGGAGCACATGAAAGGGTAACACATGTCAAACAACAAAAGCGAAAAATGCCTGACTCAACTTGCCAAGCAGCCTGCAAACTGAATTAACCTGTCTAAGAGTAGGAGTTAAAAGCAGGGGTTTAGTTAGCACACAGTTGCAAATACATGCATAAGCTAGAGCCTTATCGCGGCTGTTGAATTATTGGTGAGGGGGTGCACTGGACACCTTAGCTGCCTTTGTGCTACATGCTGGGTGTCCAGTGCATTCCTGCACCTTTAAGGAGGGGTGGGCTCCCTCAGGTCCACATGCCCTTGGGTCTACACATTTGTAGAGTTAGGAACTACATAATATCAGGGTGCCGTGACTAGGCTCTGTAGTTTACGCATGTATTTGCAAATGTGTGCTAACTAAACCCGTTTTAAAAACGCATACTGGTAGGCTCCATGTACACGGGACATTAGGAAAACACTTCTGAACGATGGAAACTGACTGCTGGAAAATGTAGGTTACAAAACATCTGTTTAGCTGCGTTTGCATACCGCTTTTATAAGTGTTTGCGTTTAGAAGCATTTTTTAAAGATAATCTCAGGAGACCTTCCAAAATGCACAGAAAACACTGAAAAACAGTAGAAAATTACAATTTAAGACATTGAGAGAAATAGAGAGAACAGAAGCAGAGAGAGCAGTATGTGTTGAGAGGACCTGTCTTTTCTAGTTGCATTTACTATGGATCCTATCATGATCATAATGCAGCATATTCTACCATTTTTTCCTTCACACAAAACCTGGAACTGACTGCGCTGGTGTACTGGGTCCATTTGAATACATGGAAAACACTTTGCATGCATTTCTGATGATGGAAAAAAAGGCTCTGGACAGCATCTGGATATGGAACAGTTAAAAAAAACGCTTATAAAAACGCAAATGCTTATAAACATGGTTAGCTGCGTTTACAAGCATTTGAAATGCTGATAAAATCTACTCCTGAACGCAAGTTTGGTACGTTCAAAAATACCACTGTAAACTCAAGTGCCTGTAAACGACAGTGTACATGGACACATAGGAAAACATTAGGGAAAGTTCAGAGGCTGCTAAACACAAAAAAAAAAAAAACCAAAGCTCCTGAATGTCAGTTTATCAGCTGCAGTGTACCTGAACCCTTAGACTCGGTTTGTTTACAGACTGGTTGGCAAGTTGAGATAGGAATTTTTCTCTTGTTGTTTGGCTTTGTAACATAGCTGCCTTCCCTGCACTGTGCATGACAGCCTGTATTTCCTGTAGAGGACAAGATAAGCCATCCAATATTCTCCAGAGATGGAGATACACAGAGCTAACCGTTCCTAACACCACTATAACTGTTCTATTAGACAACGCATGTGGCTCAGTTCCCTGTCAAGGTGTTCCATGCATCTAAAAGACACAATTTTTACCCTATCTACACATAAGCTAGGTCAGCCTCTCAACCAGGGTTCAGTGGAACCATAAGGTTCCTCCAGGAGGTTGCTAGGAGTTTCGGCAGCAAGTAACTATTTGTACCTCTCAGATAGGTCCCCCCAGAAGAGGAGGTAAGGGGCTGCTCTGTGTAATATCATCGCACAGAGCAGGTAAGTAGAACATGTTTGTTATTGATAAAAAAATAAATTTCCTTTAGAACAGTTTTAATATAATCATTTGTAGATTGGCCACTAGGGGGAGGAAGCACTCTGTTCATTACTCTGTCTCCCACTGCTGAGAGATCTGCTACAGAGTGGGCATGGTTTTCAAAGGGTCGGCTAGCTCAGGCTTGCATTGTGAGAAATTGCAGTAGGCCCCAACCATAATGTAATGAAACCTTAACTACTACCCAATGAAACCCTGACCAAAGTTGGCTATACAATACTCCAATTCCCCCATCCACACATTCAAGGTGATGCAGAGATCCTCCCCACCATGTCATTGTATTCTGCTGTCAGGATACACTGATCAGCGCTACAGTGAATTGGCTGCATGTGCTGATCACAGTAAAAATTCTGTTCAGTAGAAGTCAATTGTCAAATCGACATCTCATTTATTTATTACAGGTACTTATATAGCGCTGGCAATTTACGCAGCACTTTACATATATATTGTACATTCACATCAGTCCCTAACACTCAAGGGGCGTACAATCTCAGGTCCCTAACTTACATTCATACACACACTCATACTAGGGCCAATTTAGACAGGATCCAATTAAGCTACCAGCATGTAGTTGGTGTGGGAGGAAACCGGAGTAACCGGAAGAAATCCACGCAAGCACAGGGAGAACATGTAAACTCCAGGCAGGTGGTGTTGTGGTTGGGATTCGAACCAATGACCCTAGTACTGCCAGGCGGAAGTGCTAACCATTTAGCCATTGTGCTGCCCGCTCATGAACAGGAACAGTCATAGATTGAGCAAAATTCAGCTAGTCCCTGCAGAGCTGGTTGAATTTTGATTTATGGCCAGCTTTACCCATACCCCTTCCCAATCGCCTTCCTACTCTCTTAGCCCCCACCCCCACCTTTTTTCCCCCTCGTTTTGTTCTCACCATTTGTTTCTTCCCCCCTCCTTTACCCACTCCTCTCCTTACCCACTCCCACCTCCCTGTACCATAATTAGCCCATCCCTCACCTAGTCCCTTTACTGCCTACCTCTGCACGGCAAGCTAAAGCTGGTCTTGAGCATCTCCAGTGTAGTTAAAGAGGAGAATAGTTTTATATTACCATGCAGGGGGGCTGTGCCCACACTACATGGGTTAACTGCTCATTTTTGTCTAGGGGATTGCAGAGCAGAGATACTTACTTAGTCCGCCAATCCTCCGAGCACAATACCGGTCCCAGGTGATCCTATTCACCCACTCACCACCACCACTCTAGCAATCTTGCGAATGAACGTTCCTTACATCATCATGCACATTAGACCAGCTTTGGATACGAGGATGGCAGGTACATTCCACCACTGGACGTGGGGTGGTGGTGGGGGTGGTTTGGTTTTCTGGAGGATCTCGGGTAAGTATAACCGTTCAGTGCACTCCTAGACCTAAAATGAGCAGTTAACCCACGCAGTGCAGGCACAGTCCCACTGCACGGGAGGAAAAAAAAAAAAAACATTTTCATAGAGTTCTTTAACTATAAACTGGAGATAAAGAATTCTTAATTCTTTTTTTATTAAAAGGGCAATGCAATACAAGGCCAGCCATAAAATCACAGACAGTGATAAATAAGTACATAACATGGTTTAAAACATCAATATGCAATTGTCACATTTATCTCTTAACATGAAGACCTTATAAAAGGCCAAACGTGCCAGAGACAGCAACACAATATGTAGGATGTGTTATATTCAAATAGTAAGCACCATTCCCAAATTTTGTACACAAGGTACTGTAATTCTTTTTGAACTTACTACAGTCATAGCGCAAATTTGTAAGTCATGCTATTAAGAACTACCTGAATTTGTTGCGAGAATCAGTAAAGCTACCAAAAATGGCAGCAATTTCTGAATATGGTGCAGCCATTTAAATGGGCCATGCCGGCAGAAAGGGGTTTATTGAATTCTGGGGTCTAGGTTTTGGTTTCCCCAGTTCTTGGACCCTTTTCTCCCTACTTAATCATTTCCCCCTTAACCCTATATGAATCTTTATACCATTTCATACGTTCTTGCACATTGACGTCAAAACCCCCAGAATTTTAGGCATTCACATACAAAAATCTAGGTTGCTGGTCATTATTTTACGCATACAGATGCATGTACAGTAAACCACCTTGCTAAAAAGCAGCTAGAATAATTTGCACATTTACACACGCAAATACACATAAAAAGCATGTACTATACTGCCCATCCCCATTTAAGTGGG